ACTTATCTTTCTATCTTTTGATTGATATTGTGCTCTCTAAAAGCTATTTTTTTCCCTTTAGAAACTTTTTTGCCATTGGTAGTAAAGGTGTAGATTGAACTTTACAAGTCACAAGAGTTCAATTTGTCCAAAGAAGATTGTAAATAAGATAGAAGAGAGGTGAGGAAGTTCTAAGAGAACTCTTTAAATTGATTTAAAAAAAGTAGTAAGACTATATTAGTATAGAAGTATTAAAACTTCTTATAAATATTTTTTTTGTAGATAGTCAAAGGATCAATGGCAAGAGTTGATATATTATAATCAATATAAGATTGTTTATATTTTGTTATTAATATATTTTATATTAATAAATTAACTATTTTTAATAGAGCTATATTAATTTATATTTTTTAAAAATTTAAAATCAAATTGACATAAGCAAAATTTTTTAAAAAGTCTGAAAAATAAATAATTATAAAAAAGTTTTAAAGTTTAGGCTTTTATTTATTTATTTTTCTATTGTATAAATCTCTATATATATTTTGTTTCAAAAAAAAAACTTTTAATATTAAATTATTGGATTTCTTTACTTTTAAAATTTTCTTGTTATAGATAAAAAAAATGGGTTTTATTTTTTTTTTTATAAATTAACAATAATAATTTTATAATTAAAAAAATAAAAATTATAAATAGTTTTTTAAGGCCTTAATTTATAGCTCAAATAATAAAAATTTAAATTTTCAATAAAGATTTTTCATTTAAATCTATTACAAAAGTTGGATTATGAAAAATAAATCTTTAATTTTTTATTAATTATAGAATTAAATTATTGATAATAAAAATTGTATTAAAAGATTTTTAATTTAATTATATATAGACTTATTTTAATTTTTCTATTCAATATTATATTGATAAACTTTAAAATTTTGTTTTTACAATTGCAATAATATTTTATAAACTTAACTTTAATGACTTTAAATAAAAATATATATATTTATTTATTAATTTTAATAAGTACTTTTAATCTAGTATATAGTAAAACTTGAATAATTAAGAAATAAATAAAATTAATTTCTTTAATATTATAAGTAATAAGAATAAATAGTATTATTAATTTTAAAATAATTCTTAGAACAAGCAAACAGATTAATTAGAATTTATTTGAATTAAATAAACTTTTTACTAATTTTGTAAAACTTAGAATGAACTAAATTAAATAGTTTAAACTAATAATAGAAATTTTTATTTTGTAGATTCTTTAAATATAGTATGTAATTCTTTATTAAAGAAAAAAAAGATATTTTCAAATAAAAATAGATAATAAGTAAAATTAATCAGATACAATAATATATATACATAGATCTTTTATATACAGTATACTAATTAAAAGATTAATAATTAATAAAATATAACTAGTATCTTTGAAGGTTTTTTTTTTGAGTACTTGTAGCCAGGCTAAATTATGAGTTTATTAATCATTGAAAATATAAGTACATTTTTATTTGAGCAGCATAATAAATACTACAATTAACCTACTTTTATTTTATCTAATCAACTTATTATAAGTATAAAAGCCTCTAAGTTTGGCCTTGAGAAAAATATTTTACTTTATAATATATTTGGATGAAGACCCTCCTAGTTCACTGTATTATTGCTAGCAAGTTGTCACTGCCATAGTCATATCAAGCCACTGAAATACAGAAAACTACAAAAGGATAGGTTAAAAAAAGGAGAAGGTATATCCAAAAATGTTCAAGTAGATGTATAAAAAAATGAAAAGAAAAAAAAAAATAAAATTCTTCAGCTTTCTTCAAAGATCTGCTTCTTAAGACTTCTTCTCAATAAAAAATGCCCAATTGGAATATTCTTTTTTCTTCTGATTATTTAATGAACTTATGTATTTTTGATCTTGATTTCCTTCTTGTGTACCATCTGAGGAGACTTATCACCTAATGAAAACTTTTACTTTCAGGACATACTTTGTTTCAATCTTCTTTGAGCAGTGATTTTTTATTCACCTACAATTAATAATGGGTCTCTAAAGTATTTAGCATATAAAATTCTATAGATCACTTATGTCCCTTTTTGAGAGACAAAATTCATAGCTCTTTACTTTAATAAGGACAAAAATTAGAAAATGCTATAAATCAATAATTTGAATAATGGAGAACAATTTAGATAGTTTTTTTATAATTATTAATTTAAAATTTTTAATGTTTCCTAGTAAGAGACATTTGACTTTTGTTCTTGCTTCTCCCTTTAGGGACTTATCTTTACCTGCAATAGAGAAGTGACTTATGATAGATTCTAGGTTCTTATGCAATCTAGTAGGAACTAAGCCATGTTGTTTCAATATAATATCTTTTAGCAGCCATGTCTAGTTAAAGGAATTTTACTGATAAATATCTTTCATTACTCAAAAGGTTAGATTTCCTAATAATTCTTTTACCTTGTAATGGTAAAAGAGTTTTAAGAGTGATGAGAATTTTCGTTGATTATGATATCCTTCAATAACTTCTAAAGAAATACATTTTCAACTATAATCAAAGTGTTTGAGCTTAGTATAAACTAGAGACCATTCAATCTTATTACCTAAGTAGAATAAAAAAGAGACCTTGATCTTAAACTTTATTTGGCTGGAATGATAAGAGAGAAAGGTCTCAGCTTGAACAAATAGTAACTTTTTCATCACCTGGGGAATTGTTGCTCATATCTTATTGATCTCATAGTACTTGATTTGTAGATTAATCCAATTAGAGAAATAAGATAAAAATAGGACACTAATCAACTTTTTCTATTACCAATAACATCATCAAAACATGTAAAGTGATCAATAGGTACTTGATTACATTTAGGTACTAATTTGTTTCATGTCTACAAATCATATTTTGTAATAAATTGTGTTACCTAAAATTTAGGATCAAACTGAGGTAGGTAAAATTCTTCAGAAAATCAAAAAAAAAAAATTTGGGGTACCTATAAGAGGGAAGAAACAGTGAATAGACATTTTAAATATGACTTAATGTTTGTTATCTCCCATTGCAGATAATCTCTATAAATATGCTTCACTATAAAAGGCTTCAAGTATTATACTATTAGTTCTTCTTTCTTTTAGAACTTTCTTGCCATAGGTAGATAAGGTGTTTCTTGACTTTTTTAGGTCACAGGATATCAAGTTTTTGTTTGAAAACAAATATAAACAAGAGAAGGGGTTTGAGAGTATCTCTTAAAGTAAAACTTTAAGTTGGTTTAAGGATAGTGTTAAGACTTTATTAGCAAAGAAATAAAAAATTTCTTGTGAACATCTTTTTGTGTATGGGCAGAGGATTAATAGAAAAAGTTCCTTATGGCTAGTATCTTTGTTAGTTGAAAATAATAATAATAATAATAATATTTATTTTTTTTCTTAAATTATATTCAAAAAATAATTGTTAAATATAATCTAATAATTAAGTTGACTAATTATTTATTATAAATTTTTTGTGAGATATTTTTTTTTTAAAAAAAATGCTGACTCAATTATTTAATAATTTATAATGAAAATTACTATGATTTAACAAACTATAAATTGTCATTGTATGGTAAGTAATCATTGTGTTTATAATAAATTACCCGCATTAATCTAATAGTTAATGCATTAATGAAACACATGGAAAAATTGGTTTTAAAGAAGACTTGATTTTCATTCCAGTAAGTTTTCTCAATACTGTATTAGTTGCGTTCATATTTGGAAAATGCATACTGAACAAATTGTACAATGAAATGTAAAAATAAACACAAGAAAACAATACGCATATACAGTACAAAGAAAAAAAAAAGACTATATCTCCTTTTATCTCGATCCACAAGATAAAGGAATAATATTTTCTTTACTAAACTTTTATTCGAATGCTAACCCGTCAAATACTGAAACATCTCGACTCTTAATAATATCTGATTACGCTTATTTTGCGAAGAGTTAATCATATTTTCCGTTAACTTATTCTCCATTATTGTTACATTTACTAGGTATCTGTATTTTTTAGGATCTCTATCTAGATTTAAAGATAAATTTATATTAATTATAATACATATTATAGGTAATGGTGTATAAAATCATGATCAATACCTGCTAATCTTTGTTTAACCTCTTGAGCGATCTCATATGCCCAACCTGAAGCCTGATCTTTATCGAGTGATTCATTTATATCCAATCGTTGATAGACCACTGAATGATGCAATTGTTTTGCCGATGATGGTCGATGGTATCTATAGGAAACGAACAGTCATTAAAAAGAGGCGATTTTTCGTGACCAGGTTCAAAATGAAATATTTACTTCTGCCTAAAGAAGCCTTGATTTGATAAAAGCTCTTCACTATAATCGCCGGAGTGAATAAAATTGTGTCTACATTCAAGTGCCACTCCAAGTTTTAGTGTCTCATCTAGTAACGAATCTGTACTCTCTCCCGTTCCTCGATTATTCAGAAGGTACAAATTATGATTTCTTACACCATCTACATTGTATGGAATGCTATCCTCATTGTTAAATACTATTGTGGATGGTAAATTTGGTTGATAAATTTCGAAATTCATATTGAATTACACTAATATTTATGAAAAATTTATTCTGCAAATATTTTTTGCAAAGTGAATTGTTTGAATAAAACCGGAGCATTATTTATATAAAACGCATGTTGCATACCTAAACCTAATTTAATCTGCAACGGAAATATAAACTATAATTCAAGCTATTTTTAATTTTCTAATTAAAAAATCTGTTTACTTTAATGAAGATCTCGAAAATCGACGTTTCTAATTAAAATGTAGTAAACCGATCGGCACATACAAGAAGAAAAGGTTCGTTTTTTCTGTACGTACACATGTATTGGTGTTGTATCAGTCGCATAACATGTATCCAAGTTAAGTAAAATAACATCCATGTACATGCATATTCACGGCTGAAAAACAAAAATTTACTCAGTTTGATTTTCTTCGTTAGTCTTTAAATTTATCACATTAAGATAATAGTAATCGCAGATCGAAATATACAGTATAAAAAGTTTTTTTCTTTGAAACCCGTTAGGTTAATTTTTAATAAAAATTTCTTTGTAGTCTGATAATTAAAATGATTTTAGTTGTAATAAAAATTCTAACAAGGTTTGCTACGCGCAATATCCTGTATACGATAGCAGGTTCCCTGCCAATAGAATAAATGAGCACTTTTTAGGAGAAATTATAATTTTATGGTCATTGCAGAAAGAATAATGGATAATGGAAACAATGGAAGGATGATAATAGAATATTTTTGGAAAAATTACAAAAAAAAACCCGTCTTATCTGTGCTGCAAAATATGCAAAATCATCTGTTTATTTTGATTTTTGTGTTTGAGATTGATTGTATGCATGCGTCATAACAAGTTACTGATGCTAAATTAATACCGAAATTACTTCAGAATACTATAGAGATATTGATCACGACGCATTCTTTTCATACTCATTGTCATTAAACATCGAGTTCCTTAGTACCACAGTTACACCGACTTCCACGAAAGTCAACATTGTTTTTAGAGAACAATACCGGAGAAGCAAGCCATTCCAAATTTCAGCTTCATAAATACTTCTACAAAAGTTGATCGACTTTCCAAATGCGTTCGGAAAAACAAAGAACTTACGTTTAATTTCAACGATCGTAAGAATAAAGGTTCTATTTCGATGTTATCACTTTAGTATTAACTATGTGCAGGATTAGTTGCTTCCGACAATATCATGGAACGGTTTACTTAAATACATATTCGGTTGAGTAAATTACTGATCGACTTAGCTCGCCCTAATTTTCTATGGATGGCATACAAAATTTTATTGGTTTTAATATTGAAATTGTCATAATTTATATTGCTTGATAAAAATTTTTAGAAACTCTTACTATTCTCTATTTATTTCTCTATTAATTTAGAACAAATTCAAATATATCTATTCAAATTGAATTTTTTAAATTTTCGAAATATATACAGTAGCTTCTTTTTATTCAAGATTTTATATTAAATAAATTAAATTAAAATTTTATTTTTAAGTACTATTTAATTAATAATGGTTAATATCAATAAGCTTTTTAAAAATTCAATTATTAAAATAAATACAGTATATCTCTTAAATAGTTTAAAATTTTTTTATTTTAATTAAACAAGTTTTTTTTTAAAAAATTTACAACTTGCTATTATAGTATATTTTTATTAAAACACTAAATAAATATCTATAATATAATATTATTTTTTTTAAAAAAAATCACAACTAGTATTTAATACAAACTCTTTAGTAGATAATTAAATCTTATTTTATTATTATTTTTTTTTTAAAGTCATAACTGACGGTAGTTTATTAAAGTTAAGATTAAACAATACATACAGTATGATTACATGAGCAATTTGTGTAACTAATTTTAAGTGCTATCTAATCTCATATCTTATAAACCCACTTAATTTTACCTGTAAAGTATTATTATGCCAGCATGTCCTGCTCTGCCCGGGCCATGATGTTTGTGAGGATCCATTATGAACTTGTATTATTTTTATATTATCAAAAGGCTAGAATATATTACCATTATATGGGAATATTGAATTTGTTTGTGTTCCAGTGTGAACAACGTACCATATTTAGGCTACTGAAGTTACCAGTTATTATCTAGAACTTATGATTTGATGTGAAATCCTGGCAATTGAATGGTGTATCACATTTGACTTTCGTCTTTCATTTAACTATTTTTAACCACTCTTCAAATATGATCTTTCAAGGTTTCTCTTGATTACTTCATAGCAAATGGCTTATCCCATTGGATTGATTATATTGATAATTGTTTTCGAATTTCTTCTCCCAAGGTCTGTTCCTATATTTTCCCATCATAAATCTTGATTCAACATCATTTGACCTTGATAAGGAAGGTTGTCCTTTGTGATAGCTGTTAGTGATTGATAACACATATCTCCCAATATGTATTTAGCCCGTTATGTCTGTGACTGGTACAAGTAACCGAGATCTCCCAGTCTTTTACAAGTGAGTTTTTTTTAGAAGATGTGAATATTAATATCTAGATCGTTGAAAGTGGACCAATCAGTTTCTTTTTTTAGTCTTTATATATTCTGATCGACATGATATTATTGTTATAGTAGGTACTAAAACTGGTTATAATTTGTGTGATTTGTTCGTGGAACTATGGTCAGATAGTAATTTTCTTTAGGTGATATAGTTCTTTATAATCTACATATTGTAATATGATATAGTTTAAAAAAGCCTTACTTAAATTGTATATATCATTCTTGAATAGGATTGAACTGGCACATAACGAATAATGACCTGGGAGTGTATCTACTGCATTATTGACTCACAAGTCTTAAAATCTTATAGCAATAATATCAATTATCTTATAAATTTATATATTTCCAATTTTTTTTTATAAGTTCAACTTGACTGATGTGAATTTATTAAGTATTTTACAATAGTACAATATTGATTATATAAGTGATTCATATAACCTATTTTTCTATACTACCTATTCAATTGAATATTTTAATTTTGTCACAATGTGACACTATTTTATCAGTTGCCCTGCTATGCCCAAACCACATAGTATCTGAAATCTATTACGGAACTCATATTATTTATTTTTCAGAGAGTTTGAGGTATGTGTTCTTAGTTCTTAATGCTTTGTTTTTGCATTTTTGTTTGTGTATACTATGGTAGATTCTTACAGTATTTAGTCCTCAAAAGGTTAGTTGTACTATAATATGTATAGGCCCTATAGTCTTGTATTAATATTCTGATAATTTTTTTTTTTTAACTCGCAGTCAGGCCAATATGGCTTGTCTATTTTATTGTAAACATATTTGGTATTTACATATTTTATGACTTTCACATATTGACTCACCCATCTACAAAGTTTAA